GGTTTGTGTAGAAAATTATATAAATTTCTAATTATTGGTTATACTTAAAAAAAAATAATAGTACAAAGCCTTCAAATAGTTTGATGTGCCCTTATTACACCTATTTTTACTTTCATTGATCAAAAAGAAAACGAATGACCACCTCTAATACAATAAGTTCTTCAATTTTGTTCGAACTAGAGGAAGTTTTGAGATTTGTAATTCAGTTGCTTGAGTTAAAAAAAAAAAACATCAGAAAGTGAGAAGGTGAACCTAAAATTTTGTCCCTTGTCTCTAGAATTTCATGTGTTTTTCATGATCTATGACAAGATAATAGAATATTAGCAATAATAAAAAAGAAATCGAGAGAAAATATCAAAGTCGAACAAAATAGGGTACATGTACAAGTCAAAAACTAGCTTGACATACTTTTGTTATAAGTCTTTTCCGTGAAGCTTTAATCCTATTGAAATATATGTGGAAATATCTAGAGAGAATCTAATAAAGACTTGAAAGGCGATACTATAGGTTCAATTTCCCCAATTGAGGTAAATCGGGTCACGTCAAACTCGTGTTTGAAGCAATCGAATATAAATTCTAATTGTTTCTTTTTTTTTTAATTATAGAATTCTTTGTAGAATCGTTTTAACATGAATTGGTATTATTGTTTTTATTCGCCATACTAGCTAGTGTTTTAGTCGTATAGTTGTCTTGCTATAGCATTTTTAAGTTTTGACAACATTATCATTCAAAAACTTGTTTTCCTCGCCTGATATGTATTAAACTTTATGCGAAAATATTTTTCTTCTGTGATCATAAGCAGGTATTTATTTGGATTATATAAGTAAATAGCCAGTTAAATACACATGTTAAAGAATATGTAATGCTATGTTACTAAACTAACGTAGGGTCTATCTAGTTTGTCTTAACCTGCAAACTAATTTGATTCTAGTTAATTAATTATGTTGACATGCTTACACACAACCTTCCCACTACGCTAAACAAACGCATGCATAACAAACCAATAATTAATTAAGATAGGTGTGCAATCTTAATTAAACTAATCTTCAATTGTCCAAACTCCAAAGCACAAAAAGGCAAATACCATAACAAACTCTTAATTAATACTGAAGCTCTCTTCATTGGATAATAATTTTGAGAAAACATTTAATAGGGTCC